GACTTTAGAGCAGTGGTTCTCTACCTGAGGGTTCCCAGATGTTTTGGCCTTCAACTCCCCGAAATCCTAACAGCTGGTAAACTGGCTGGGATTTCTGGGAGTTGTAGGTCAAAACACCTGGGGACCCACAGGTTGAGAACCACAGCTTTAGGGTATTTGGGCCCTAGGGGCCACAAAAAAAAAACAACAACCAGAGGAGGGCTTTACGGGCCTAACTGAGAATTGTGGTGTTATATACACATCGTTTTGTGGGACAGCTGCCCTTGTGCAATAACAATACAAGGAGAGGAGGGGCAATGGCACTCAACATAGGTATGGAGCACTAATCTAGAACATTGGAAAGCCATGAGTGCTCTGCGCCTGGCCAGAAAAATGCTCCCACATTTTGCAGTGGGAGCCTCCCATTGTGCCATGGGACATCTTATATATTGTTTGCATTCTTTAACATGATTACATAATGTGTCAGTGATGTAGCTCAGCCATTGTGAAGTTTTGCATCACAGGTCATGACGAGCCCCCAGTGGCACAATTGGTTAAACCCTTGTGCCAGCAGGACTGCTGTCCAATAGGTCAACGATTCGAATCCTGGGAGAACGGGTTGAGCTCCCTCTGTCAGCTCCAGCTCCCCCTGCAGGGACATGAGAAGCCTTCCACAAGGATGGTAAAACATCAAAACATCTGGGCAACGTCCTTGCAGATGGCCACTTCTATCACACCAGAAGTGACTTGCAGTTTCTCAAGTCACTCCTCACATGAAAAAACAAAACAAAAGAAAACCCAGGTCATGATGCAGGGTCTTGGCCATAGTTAATAAGAGAGTACATGCAATAGGTAAGGTAAGGAATGAGTGGCCTTGCTGGACTGCAGTTTCCATCAGTTTCAGCCTGCATTGATTGATGATGGTGAAAAAGGGGTGGGAGTTACCATCTGACATTTGGAGGGCCACGGGAGGCTGATAACAAGCCATGGGAGGTTGATCAGCTCATTAATAGCGGCTGTATTTTATAAACAACACAATTTTCCACTGGATCTTGAACATGTTTAATTGATAGTAAGTGCTACTGGGTTTGGTGGGGTGATTACTCTCTAGTCCATCCACTCAGGATTGCAACTCCTGTTTTTCTTTTTTCAGCCATTTAACAGCTGTTGCTCATAAAAAGCTTCCTGTGAAAGGCAGTGTTCCTGAATTAGCAGAGGTAATGTAAATAGTCACTGTTTGAATACCATTGGGCACTTGGGAGAAGAAGAAAAAACAGTTCAAGAGGCAATATTAGGAACTTGTTAATAGGGTGTGATATACAATAAAAAAAATGGAAATAGAGTGAGGGTTTTTTTTAAAGCAAGGGAACAGTAGGATAAAACAACTTGCTTTAGTTCTGCCCTGACAAGTCTGGATACTGTTCCTTCAAAAATGTCCTGTAGAACTGTGAACATAAACTACATTTTTTTAAAGGAGATTTTTTTTACATTATGCTCAGACCTAAGCTTTCTTCATCTGAGGAAAGATAATGAGTGTTTTTACTTTCTCCATGGATGGTGCTTTTGTTTCCCAATTCCCTCTCTTTCAGTAGTGCTTGTGGGAGCTGTGGTGGCGCAATGTGTTACATCCTTGTGCCAGCTGAACTGCTGACCTGAATACCTAAAGGTTGGTGATTTGAATCTGTGAGACGGGGTGAGCTCTTGTCTGTCATCCCCAGCTTCCCATGCGGGGACATGAGAGAAGCCTCCCACAGAATGGTAACACACCCGGGCGTCCCCTGGGCAATGTCCTTGTGGACAGCCAATTCTCTCACACCAGAAGCGACTTGCAGTATATTCCCAGGTCGCTCCTGACATGAAAATGTCCTGCTTGTACTTATGGATTGCTCTAAAGTAAAGGCAGAGTTAAAATGCAGGCTGTCAAAAGTTGGGTTATGTTTGGTTCTTGGAAATGTTTATCAAAGTTAAGAAAACACAACTTCAGATATAACAAGGTTGTTCTACAAGTGGAACTGTATCTACCATCCGGGCAGGACCTGGAGGAAAATCTCCCCTACCTGTTTCATGGGCCTTAAAACCTGTTCTACAAGACTGAGAAATTTTCAGTAACATACAAATATGGAAAAGAAAGTCCTGACATGATAGCAGCCAAGTACTGGAGCAGGAATGGGCAAAATATGGTCTACGGGTTGCTTGCAGTCTCTCTGTGGCCCCAGTTCCCCACCCCCAACAGTCAGAAAAACCTTCTAACAAAAACAACCATGGACTAGGTGGGCTTTGTGGTCTCTTCCCACTCTGATTCTATTCAAAGCCCCCAAATGGTGCCTAGAGGGCATAGGGGCATTTTTGACATTATCCTTTTAAAATCCTTTTTTTAAAAAAATCAGGGAATGAATAGGAATTGACTTTTGGTGACTTTTTGTTGTTAAAATTGTGAAAATGCTTTTCTTTAGGAACATTTGTGCTGGGGGAGGCTAGACCTTTTTTGGTGAAGATACTGCAACCCTCCAACATCTCCTGAGATGCTAATGCAATCTTCGACTTCCAGAAACTATGTTACTTCTCTGTTAGGAGTTAGGTCAGTTTTGAGGACTATTGTGCTTTATCAGCTACAACCCAGATAGGCAAAGTGCAGCCCTCCAACTGCCATTGGACGGCAGTTTCCAGCAACCCCTGCCAGTAACAATATTGGCTGAAGTTGATGGGAGCTACAATTGGAAAGCTACCTTTTGCCTACTCCTGCTATATAAGAATCCCCTATTACTCTGCCCTTTTTTGTGTCAGGAGCGACTTCAGAAACTGCAAATTGCTTCTGGTGTGAGAGAATTGGTCATCTGCAAGAACATTGCCCAGGGGGCGCCCGGATGTTTTGATGTTTTACCATCCTTGTGGGAGGCTTCTCTCATGGCTCCGCATGGGGAGCTGGAGCTGACAGAGGGAGCTCATCCACGTTCCGAATTCAAACCTGCAACCTGTCGGTCTTCCTTTTACTCTTCCTGGTCATGCAACACTAAGAAATAGTTCAAGACTTGAAAAGAATGGTAACATCAGCTCATCCTAATTTAAAATTAGAAGCTAGATTTGCTGTTTTAATGAATACACTTGGCAAATTAATCTGCTAAAAGCTGAGTTGAACAAACTGCCAGGATTTACAAAAAAAATAAAATAAAATGCAACCTTGATAAACAGAAACTGCTTGAGGCAAAGGCTACTGTTCCAATGCAATCAGTACAAGCTACTCAAAAGTAAGCCCTATTGACGTATTGTGACTTTTTAAATTGCTGTCAAGTTGGCTTTAGTAATGTTGTGAATGAGAGATCTCAAAGACATCCTGTTCCTAATCGCTTTGCTCAAACTGTATATATTCGAGTATAAACCTAGTTTTTCAGCCCTTTTTTAGGCTGAAAAAGTCTCTCTCGACTTATACTTGAGTCAAGGTTATTTATATTTCCCTCTGTTATTATTTTTATTACATTTATAATTTTACTCTATTATTATTATTACATTTATTATTTTACTCTATTTATTATTGTTATTACATGTATTATTTTACGATATTACTGGTATTATTACATTTCCATTATATTATTATTATTACATTTATTATTTTACTCTCTTATTATTGGAAGGATACGTATGCACATTTACATTGAAGGTTAGAATAATGGTTTAATCAGAGTTGGGCAGTCTTATCTTAAATTACAGTTTTATGTAAATATTTAATCTACTGATGCCTCAATTAATGTAATTTTATTGGTATCTATTTTTATTTTGAAATTTACCAGTAGATCCCATCCTCGGGTTATACTCAAGTCAATACGTTTTCCCAGTTTTTTGTGATAAAATTAGGTGCCTCGGTTTATATTCGGGTCGGCTTATACTCGAATATATATGGTATTTTGACAATCCAGTCTGTGACTTCATTGATCCAGTCTTCTCCACCTGTAATGTAGTTTTCCCACTGCCGTACACTTTCTCCATCTTTTTCTAATGGGTTATGTGCTTTCCTGACCTGTCAAAGATATGACTGCCCCTGTTAATTTATTTTGGCTTCTAGGAAAAGTTTGGATTTGAATTGTTCCAGGACCCATTTATTTGCTTTTTAGGCCGTCCATGGTATCCATTGAACTCTCCTCCACATTTCTAATGAGTTGATTCTTTTCCCGTCAGCTTCCTTCAATGTCCAGTTTTCACAATCTGACATAGAAATTGGAAATGCAGATGTCAGTATGTGCAAAATATGAATAATTTCATTTTCAGTGAGTAATGCCACCTTTCAAAATTCCTCCTCCTGTTGTTTTTTTCTTTCAGGCAAGGCTCTGTCTGTTTCAGGCTGTTCGCACAGTCTTGGGCAGTGGAATGAAGCTTCTAGGAATCACACCTGTAAATAAAATGTAATGCATACCCCAAAATACATCTGCTCTGAAGGCCACATGTTGTCCTGTCTTGTTCTTGTCTTCTCTGTAATATTTAGGTGTTTATGTCCTTAGTAATTGATTGAATATATGGTAGGAGTAGATCAATAGGTACCACTCCAGAAGGAAGATAACAGCGCTCCATGCAGTCATGCTGGTCACATGACCTTAGAGGCATCTATGGACAACGCCGGCTCTTGGGCTTAGAAACGGAGATAAGCACCACCCCCCAGAGTTGGACACAATTAGACTTCATGTCAGGGGAAACCTTTACCTATTAATATTAAGAATAGCACCAGCTGTCTACAATAGGATCAGATAATTGGCTTCCTAGGAAAGGTCAATCAGAGATCTTCCCTCCATTCAGAATTTATCCCTATTAATGGAGAAACCACAACCTTGTGGCTCCTGGCATATCAGTCAGCATCTTAACACTATAAAAGGATTTATAGTGTAACCTCAAGAAGTGCACATTTGCTGCATATAACCAAGAGTGGAATTAGATTTCATCCCCTCAAAAGAATTAAATTATCATTAATAGAAGTCAATGTCACTTTACCGTTAAACAATTCTTTCTCTAGAAGGCCAACTGAGAGAAACAACACATTTAAAAAAAAACATGTACAATTATTTAATGGGAGGAAAATCACATCTTTCACAAACTCCTAAACAAAACTTGCTGCCAGCTTATGATTTCACAAGTTGTACAATACTATTGTTGGTAATCATATGTCCCGGCATATATTGCTGAACTGCGACTTCCAGTATTCCTCATCCCTAGCTTTGCAGACTGGTGCAGCCGGGAGTTTGCAGTCCAACACCATCAGGAGAGCCACACAACTCCCCACTTTTGACATAAGTAATGCAGAATATGCAGTACTTGCTTTCCGCTCCCCATCCCAGAAAAGGTTATTTTGGAGGTAGGCAACTTTGGCCTTCCCAGATGTATTTTGACGTGTATGTTCCATAATGAATCCTGTGAGGTTGCAGCCCAAAGAAAACCCCCGAGGGCCACAGTGGCTCCGTTACGTTTCATTCAAGTAAAAGGCACAATCCAGAATGGCACATTGCATTACCTAACTTGCACAAAAATGTATTTTAGGGCTGATAAGTGTGACAACAGTCTTAATAATATACAAAAATGGTATAAAACCTCATTACAAGGGGGGAAAGGTGTATAAAAAGAAGAAGCAGCATTTTTCCTTCTTGATATTGTCAAAGGATGCACCCTACCAAACACATGAAGACATAAGATCTGTCCCAGCTGGTATTGTGGTCGTTTTAACCATCAAATGGAGCCACGATAGCGCAATGGCTTAAACCCTTGTGCCAGCTGAACTGCTGACCCAAAGACCTGAAGGTCGGCGGTTCGAATCCTTGAGACAGAGTGAGTTCCTGTCTGTCGGTCTCAGCTTCCTATGCAGGGAAATGAGAGAAGCCTCCCACAGGATAGTAACACATCTGGGTGTCCCCTGGGCAATGTCCTTGCAGACAGCCAATTTTCTCACATCAGAAGCAACTTGCAGTTTCTCAAGTTGCTCCTGACATGAAAAAAAAAAGTATAGGTACTTGCAGTATATTCTCAATTTGCTTCTGATACAATAAAAACATCGAATATTGGCATTCTTCTGCAAGTGCTGTGTCACTGTAGATGCAACAACTAGTGTAACAACTGTTAAGAGCTGTTCAGCTGTTGGCTGCATCTTAAAGATAGGGGCATGCAAAGGGAAATGAGTGGGGCATTCTACACAACAAAAGTATGACCAACATATTAAAAGAGGGAATTAATCTCATCAAAGAGTAGACATTGCTCTTCTCTGGTACATCAAAATAGATTCCAGTAATGCCCCACTCTTTTATTATATACACAATATATATTGATATATAGGTGCATATTCCATTCCTTCATATATGTATTTTCTGATGAGCAGAATCTTCATAGTCCAACACAAAAGTAAGACACAACTTTACATCAGTTACAGTGCTACACAATATAGTGAAGTATCCATCCTCCAGTGTAAGCCCTCATTCCACTGACGAGTACTTCACTTTTAGTTCAAGCAGAAAAGTTTGCCAAAAAACAGTGTAAGGCTATTTTTAAAAAGGAAACTGCGGAAAGACATTCTGTCAAGTCTTCTTTGCTCTGTAATATTTTTTTGTTCTTCATGATTGTGAACATTAAACATGAATAAGACTTGCTTTCGACGTTTTTGGTTCTACCGGCTGGAGTTTTGTCGTGTTTTCTCGAGGCAGTCCATACAGATAGATTGAAATACATACGAGAAGAGCACCAAGCGAGAATGTGATCGCTAGAAGAGAAAAAAAGAAGGTGCATGATTTAAATGCTGGTCCAAACAGAAGCCTCAGAGAACTTAAGAGGACCGTAACCAAAACCAACTTACTTATCTGTAAACCAAAGAGGACAACAGACGCAACGGTAGAGAGGACAATGGCAGCTGCTGCAGAAAAGCCTTTCATAATATTGTCTGTGTATTTAACGACCACCGATGTGTAAAGACCTCCAACACTGGAAAGAACTGGGAAGCAGAAAGAGATGTACTCATGAATGAGACATATCAGATATCTTTTGCTTGGCATTATAAAAAGTTACCTTCACAGTGATTCAAAGAAACTGTAAAACAGATTTTATAGCACCAGTTTTTGTTAATAAATTTCGTATTTCATTTACAAAGACCATAGTGTTCAATTCTGAATATCTTGTGAAGACTGGTTGCCACATTTGCAGTCGCAGCCCAAAAAATTATGCTAAATTTGTAAAGTCCACAGCAGAGGCTGGAAATGGAAATGGATAATACAAATCAGATATTGTTATTGTTATCATGCCTATGGGGATTGTCACTGCTACTGTAATTTGAAAGAGCTAGTTTATAGAATAAGTTTTAATGTTTATATTGGAAAGGGTGCACCATACTTTTAAGAGTTGTCTATTATTTGATGCCATGGCCTATGGCTAGTACAATAAACAACAACTCAACCTTTCCCAACTACTTAATGAAAGTGTTGTATGTCAGCCTGTTCAGCCTGTGATTGTGTCTGATGATCAGGTTGCTTTGGATGATGGGAATGACAATGATGTCCATGTTCAGGCTGATTTCCCTGATGGACATGGGGATGCTGTTCATAAAGACATTCCTGAAGGGAATGGGAATGATGGTGTGTTTTCTGGGCCTGGTTTTGGCGATGTGGGGCCTGAATGCAGTTTAGATGATGGATCACAGAGGCCTGAATTGCTGTAAGAGGATTCTCAATGTACTGAGCTTGGGAAAGGCTCTGTGCCGCAGTTCCCCAGTCAGTTACTTCCAGGTGGAGTTTTTAATGAAGGGAGTAGCAGTAAAGCTTTGAACAGGAGAAGTGTTTTTAGCCAGCAAAGACAAACAGGTCAGCAATTATGGCACTCAGACAGATTACAGCAGAAGTTAGAAGTGAAACCAAAATTGAGAAAAATCCTTTCCTAGCTGTTTGGGAAATAGGGCAGGGATAGAAGTGCCAAGTACGGAATCTAGCTTCAGACAAAACAACGTTGGATCCACGTTAAGTTCTTCATGCCAAGTTCTTGGACACTTGTCGTTGTTGGATTTATGGATTAAGTGCCTTTGCTGTTCTTTGCCTTTGAAATCAAGTATCTAGTTTCATGGACTTTTTGGACTAGTTCTCTTTGGACTAATTGTTCCTATTTCTTCCTAATCAATTGGATTACCTTTTACTGTGGATTACTTTTTATTGCTTTGGCTTATATTACCCTCAATAAACTGCTTTCTATTTTAACCCATTTGTGTGGTGTTTAAAGTCAGAGGGGATCATGCTCTGGAGTACAACAGAAAAGCCATACTGCTGTGCTTTGCAAGCTTGAAAGTTGCTGTCATGAGTTTATTCCCAAATAGACATCTTCAGAACAGAACTATCCCTCATGGGAAGAAGTTCACATTGTGAATGTCCCATCTGTCCCTTATACACTTGTTTTGGCCTTGCTCCATTCTTTCAACCCCTCTCACTGCTGGAACTGAAATTTGACCTCTGGACCAAAAAGGATTTCAGCTCCTCCTGTCATTAATATGTACTTTCAATGACACTACTCCCATATTACTGGTTAAGATATCAAAGTCCTTTTGGCCTAGGATAGAAAAGAAAATTCAAGAGCCCTGTAAAATTTAAGGAGAAACACTAAAGATACTTACATATCACAAACCAGACATAATGCGTATAGCCATAGAAAAATCCTTTCTCCATTACTTGAGCTCCGTCAGACATGTAGACACCAACCAAGGTCACAACAATTCCAGAAAGATACATCTGAATGTTCCTGACCCATAAAGATGTGTCTGAACTCTTGAGAACCTTCTCAAAATACACCCCTAAAGGGAAGGACGGAGAGAAAGATAAATATAAGATCACCAGAAAAAGAAACTTTTCTTTTCATTGGACTGAGAAGGAGCAGTAAATCTTTTTCATCACACTTTTCATTCTGGATAGCTAAAGGCCACGGAGCTTCTATAGTTTATTTCGCATAGACATAATCTGAAAAACCTAAAGAGTAGCATATTACAAGTTATTCATTGAATGTTTTTGTTGGGTTTTTTTTTTTTTTTTACAAATGCCTCAAAGGTAATGTCTTGCCTTCACTTTTGTGGGAAAAGGTATTAGTAACTCCCTGCACTGGTCATTTCAGTGCTCATTATTTTTGCCCTCATTGGTTAAATATCTATTTGGAAAAGCAAGATTAAAATAACTGGGGGGAAGTCTTCTCAAAATTATCTGTCCAAAGTAAACATTACTCATAGCAATATTATCAGTCTTTGGCTGACATCCTATTAGTGATGCATATAACATATGCCAAACATGTACTTGTGCATATCTTTTATTACTAATCATATATTGGTATTATCTTCCTCCCTCTGAAATGACCAAAGTTAAAATCCCAAAAGTACAGATAAAGGTTTACCCCTGACATTAAGTCTAGTCGTGTCTGACTCTGGAGGGTGATGCTCATCTCCATTTCTAGGCCGAAGAGCCGGCGTTGTCCATAGTAGACACCTCCAAGGCCATGTGGCCAGCATAACTACATGGAGCGTTGTTGCCTTCCCGCTGAAGCAGTATCTACTGTTCTACTCACATTTGCATATTTTCAAGCTGCTAGGTTGGCAGAAGCTGGTGCTAACAGTGGGAGTTCATCCTGCTCCCTGGATTTGAACCGCTGACCTTTCTGTCAGCAAGTTCAGCAGCTCAGCGGTTTAACCCACTGCACCACAAGAAGGCTCTTATCATCCCAACCTACTGTTTAATTCCTGTGTCCTTCATGGCCATTCAGTTAGTGTTGGCGAGTCAAACAATTGGAGAAGTACCTGACTACAAACAGATGCAAAATGATCCAATGCCATCAAGCAACATCTGGCTATGGGGACACTCTTTTGATTGCTCTAGCTACTGAAATGCCATGGGGTTGGGATCTGCATTGACTGGTGAGTTGAGATTGACAGGAGAGACAATGTGGGTCTGGCTGCAAACCACACTGTGTACTCTGTATTACATGTTCTCAACCATGTTATTTGAGAAAAGGGAACCTGTTATGCCTTTTATATCCCCAAACCCAAAGTCTTACAGGTAGCATCATTACTTACAGCATGCCATTTCTAAGCTCTGAGAAAACCTCCCAATGATTTCAAAATAAAAACATGTCCAGGCCTTTAAATTCTTCCCCATCTCACTAAAACCAAACCTCTTTGTTCTATTAATTATAATAACAATGAGATTTTTTTGAAACTGGGAATTTTTAATTGAAGTTAACAGAATGTCTATTTTCCCAGTAAATAAATAGAAATAACATTAAAATAATTGTATGCAATGAGAAAATGGGACCAGGAAAACTTCAGATAATTCAATCTATACCAGTATTTTGTACTTCAAAATCGTTTGGCACAAAACTGTCTCACACCGTTTTTTCAAACCCAAATTACTTCTGTTTTAGTCACTAAAACCAGAGCTTCTAAATTTATCTAATGTGGGCAACCAAAATCCTTCCATTGACCCAGGAATGAGGACCATGTTTATGCCTCTAGGCTACAGTTCTGTCTTTTTTTTTCTCGAAACTCTCCAGAGCAGGTATGGGCAAACTTTGGCCCTCCAGGTGTTTTGGGCTTTAACTCCCACAATTCCCAACAGTTTACCCACTGTTAGGAATTGTGTAAGTTGAAATCCAAAACACCTGGAAAGTCCAAGTTTGCCTATGCCTACCCAGAGACTGGTAGCTGATAGCCCATGGAAGTTTATCAACCTGTGGGTCTCCAGATGTTTTGGCCTACAACTCCCAGAAATCCCAGCCAGTTTACCAGCTGTTAGGATTTCGAGGAGTTGAAGGCCAAAACATCTGGGGACCCACAGGTTGAGGACCACTGGTCTATAGACTGGTTCATGGTCCATGGACCACCAGTTTCAGTAGCATTGAATTTAATGACAGGGCAGTGCAGACTTTTTCTTGTACTATTAGCCTTAATATGGTTTGGTGAGCCTTCTGCTTTAGCCATAGAGCCCTCCTTTCCTCCTCCTTCTCCCCACCAACAGATGGCCATTGCCAAGAATATCTACTACATGCTCAAGCAGATAATTTCATGGTTGCAGAGCAGGATGGGGAACGGGTTGCCCTCTGGATGTTATTGAACTGTGACACCTGTCAGTCCTTTATTTATCATGTCAGAAGCCAATTGAGGGTGCAGTTATAATGTATTTAAAAACACGAACAAAGTTTAAAACTTAGCATTATGATAAATGTCCTTTGACCAGAAGCCAGCCACTTGGAGTGCCTCTGGTGTTGCTGTGAGAAGGTCCTCCACCTGTCAGCCCTAATCAGCATAGTCAGTAATGAGAGCTGATAGGCGTTGCAGTCAATTAGTACCATACAATCCTTGCTCTACAGGCTAAAAGGTCCCACATCATAGGAGACATGCCCTCTTTTTAAGCTAGCTTTGCCTCTTGGGAGCCACAGAGCTGACACCATTGACATACCATGAAAAAATCGGGTCATGCACTGCACTCATGATTTTTGTTTTGTGTGTCAGGAGGGACTTGAGAAACTGCAAGTCGCTTCTGGTGTGAGAGAATTGGCTGTCTGCAAGGACGTTGGCCAGGGGATGCCCGGATGTTTTGATGTTTTACCATCCTTGTGGGAGGCTTCTCTCATGTCCCCACTGGGGAGTTGGAGCTGACAGAGGGAGCTCTCCTCAGATTCGAACCTCTGACTTCAGTCCTGCCAGCACAAGAGTTTAACCCATTGCGCCACCAGGGGCTCCTACGATTAATTAAATTTGTTGAGGGAAATGACAGCATCAGCAAGTTACTGTGTGCCCTTCTCCAGAGGTACAAGGCTCCTTAAACTACAAGACCAATGAAGGATGGAGGCATGCTGTTGTAGGTCCTAGGCAAAGGAAAGTGTAAGGAGGAGGTCTGGGCTGTCAAAACACCAACACTCATGGTATATGCTTGAGGATAAGTGTTAACTATAGGGTTTTACCTGCAAATCCTGAACATAAAACAGCAACAGCAATTGCACCAAAGCCTATCAGAGGATTTTGTTCCATCTAAAGGATTGACAACAAGGAAGACGTTTGTAAGCATAACAGATCACTTCAAACATTAAGTCAAAATATCACTTTACTGCCAACAGCAGAAACTAAAAAGATCAACCCAACCCTCTGGGCCACTCTGCATCATCTGCCTATGAATCAGCTTGCTATGCATGCCTTGCCTTTAGGGGAAATAAAGAAATGGCCATTCAGGAAACAGCCAACTACAGAAAAATGCTCATGCATCACGTAATCTCCCTTATTTTCATGTTATGCTATTCCTTTTGCAAGTAAAGATGCCCTGCATTTCTCACCTTTGCACTGCAATTAAATCTTTTTTTCAGAAAAAGGACATACAATTAAATATTTTTAATTAGTCTACTGAAATATCTATAAATTGTATAAATTGAACAAGCAACATATGAAAACACCTTGATCAATAGTAATCGCTGCACATTATTACTGACACAGGAAATTTCCATAATGTGCACTGCAAGACTTCAACCCAAAATCTCCCAGATAAATACTCGATAGAATGTACTAAGCCAGGACAGGGCAGAATATAACTCAAAAATTGAGCTGAAAGTCAGATTACAGTTTCCTACTCCAAACTCTTTTAAAATGACAGCGACAAAATGACTTTTCCTATCCTGCCCATGTTAGATTAAGGTAAAGGTTTTCCCTTGACATTAAGTCTAGTCATGTCTTACTCAGGGGATGGTGCTCATCAATTTCTACGTTGAAGAGCCAGCATTGTCCATAGACACCTCCTAGGTCATGTGGCCCGCATGACTGCGTGGAGTGCCGTTACCTTCCTGCAGAAGCAATACCTATTGATCTACTCACATTTGCATGTTTTCGAACTGCTAGGTTGGCAGGAGCTGAGGCTAACAGCTGGAGCTCACCCCACTCCCTAGATTTGAACCACCAACCTTTCAGTCAGCAAGTTAAGCAGCTCAGCTGTTTAACTCACTGCGTTCCAGGGGCTCCCCACCCATGTTAGATTACACTGGTGGAATGAAAAAGCTAAAGTGTATGGGTTGTGCGACCAGGTGTGGACTTTTACACAGAAGTGCTGTGGCATCAGTTCAGTACTGAAATTTTGCATCTCGTTCTGGTTGGGTGGTTTTTGGAGCAGTCATTTTAAGAAATGTGCTCCACCCAATTCCATCACAGATTATTTGCATATCAAAAACTGAAAATGTAGCTAAATAAAAATGTGCATTTCTGATGAACATTTAATCTCCTTACTCCAAGATGCCAAAGAACCCAAGTGAAATAAATCTTTCTATGGTGCTGTCCACATAGAAAGAGGTGGAAATAATGTCCCCAAGTTTTCAACCTCTTGCCATGTAAACTCTACCAAATGTATTAGTTTTCACAATTAGGATGGATTTTCCTCCCAATCAAGGTACCATATCAAGAAAAAAAGTTCCATGGTATCTTCCAGTGAACACAATGTCATGAACTATGGGTTTGGTTTTGTTTTTCGTGTCGGAAGCGACTTGAGAAACTGCAAGTTGCTTCTGGTGTGAGGGAATTGGCTGTCTGCAAGGATGTTGCCTAGGGGACGCCCTGTTTTGATGTTTTAACCATCCTTGTGGGAGGCTTCTCTCATGTCTCCACATGGGGAGCTGGAGCTGACAGAGGGAGCTCATCCACACTCTCCCCAGATTTGAACATCTGACCTGTTGGTCTTCAGTCCAACCCAGCACAAGGGTTTAACCCACTGCACTACTGGAGGCTTCTATGAACTATGGGTGTTTTTATATTGCACAGTTATAGCATGATAATTCAACTCTAGCTGCCATGATTCCATCCTATCATATGCTGGTGCATGTAATTTAGCCACAGACTTGCATCTCCCACAAATGCAAATCTCAGGATGCCACAGGATGCTGGTGTGCCAGTAAAAGGGAAACAAGAGAGCTATAGCTGTGTAGTACGAAAGGGCCCCAGAAGTCAATAAATTGGTCTAATTAAGGGGGACTGAGTGGAGAATAAACACAGTGGAATTCTTTGTGGGGCCTGAAAATATTTTTTGTTTATTCGTTCAGTCGCTTCCGAAAGAACTGATGTTCATTAAATCTCTCCCACCTCAATTTCCTTTACATTTAATTTCAAAGGGGATCAGAAAATATTCCACACCTCATTAATTGATTTAAAAAAAAAAGAACCCTGGTGTATGACAGTTCGTTTTAATGTAAGCTACTTTAAGTCTTCTTTGTGGAGAGAAAAAGCAGGGTATAAATACACATAACAACAATAACAATAAATATATTGCTTCCACAATTGGTATTCAGTGGAAATATGTTCATTGGCACACTGAAACATATTTCAGATTTGAGAAGGGAAATGCTTACCTGAACTTTTGTAGCCTGAGCTGGCTTCCACTGAACGAGTGTGACTCCGCCACAGAGCATGAAGACCGAGAACCACTGCAGTTTGCTGAGAGCACGGTTCAGCATTAGGACTGTACATAAGGCTGTGCATGGGATCTTCAATTGATACGTGACCTTTAAAAAAATCCAGATGTTTTCAAAAAATATTATTGTTATTATTATTATTATTATTATTATTATTATTATTATTACATTTACATTATTTTACTCTATTATTTTTGTTACATTTATTATTTTACTCTATTATTACTGTTATTATTACATTTCCATTAGTTTATGCTATTGTTATTATTTTTATTACATTTATTATTTTACTCTCTTTATTATTATTGGAAGGATACGTAAGCACATTTACATTGAAGAAGGTTAGAATAATAGTTTAATCACAGTTGGACAGTCTTACCTTAAATTACAGTTTTATGTAAATACTAGTTGTCCCCTGCTACGCGTTGCTGTGACCCAGTCTGTGTATATGTGTTTTGTGTGTGTATATGTGTGTGTATATATTTGTGTATATGTGTGTTTGCGTGTATATATGTGGCTTTGTGCATGCCTTGTAATGTATTTTTTGGGGTTTTATGCTTTAAAAGTCTCTTATGCTGTGTTTTTATGACTGATGGTCACTTGTTGGCCTGATAGGTGTATTGTGTCCAAATTTGGTGTTAATTCGTCCAGTGGTTTTTGAGTTATGTTAATCCCACAAACAAACATTACATTTTTATTTATATAGATTCAAAAATATTCAAAAACATTTAACCTGCTGATGCCTCAATTAATGCCATTTTATTGGTATCTATTTTTATCTTGGAATTTACCAGTAGCTGCTGTATTTCCACCCTCAGCTTATACTTGAGTCAATACATTTGCCCAGTTTTTTTGTGGTAAAATTAGGCACCTCAGCTTATATTTGGGTTGGCTTATACTCGTGTATATACGGTACATTCCTCAGGAAATACTTTCTTGTTGGCTTTTCAGTGGAAACCTTTTTCTACCAAAATGGTGCTGTGTTTTAATTCAGCTTCAGTGATCTGTCTACAGTGTTGAATGTTTGATGTGCAATTCTAATATATAACTCAACACCCAAGGAGGCAGCCAAAGGGTACGGAGCACACATGGATGAGTTTACTTTGGGCTCTGATGGAGAAGCAGCCAGCTTCCAAGCATCAACCATTCATTACCTGGTAAACGGCTGCATCCAAATTGCTAAGAGCCAGGAAGGCCATGTTGTTCTGAATGGCATACACCACAGAGGGGACACTTAGTTTAAGTAGTTCTTTGGGGCTTCCTAAGACATTGTCTTTCAGTGATGTCAACAATCTTCCTGCACTTCCAGTCTCTCTGGGGGGAAAAAATCACAAAAAGGTTTAAAGAATTACATATATATATAGTAACTTGACACATAAGTGCTGTAACATTGCTATGGAGGTCTGTATGTTCACAACTTCCAAAATCTGATGCCAGGCTGAACAAGCCCACAAGCAACCCAGATGACAGGTGGGGTTTGTCATAAACCACAGATAATGCATGTTTATCAAACATCACGTACTTCGAGAACAGAAAGTAGAAGCCAATAGCTGGAAAGATCAGTCTTCTTAATTGCTTAATTGCACACACGTTCCCAAGAAATGCCGGCCTAAACTATCCATCCTTCCATACATTCGGCGGCTCTCTAAAGTCAAATTAAAAATTCAGGAATGGAAGCAGAGGTGGAAACAATTCAGGGAAAGAAAGACATGATGGCTGTATTCCCAGACCATCAGATCAGTTATTAAATGCCTTTGGTAAAGAGCAAAGAGTATTTGCTAAGTGATTATTTGGCCAGCAACCATGCTGATCTGTCAAAATTGAAAAAAAAGAACAAAGACATAATGAAATGATGATTGGTTTAGTGGGGAGAAAGTACACATAAAACAAAACTAGAAGCATAAGTAGGTCCTTATATCTCAATGACTTATTTGTGGATACTTTGGAATAGATGGATGGATGTCTAACTATCTCTCTATCCAAAATGGTGCTGACTCTTTACTCTCTCTTCAGAATGACTCTTGGCTTATCCATGAGTCATATCAAAATCCATAATTCTGGCCTCAAAGCCTGCTCTTGACTTATACATGAAATTGATTTATAAATGTATATATGTAAAAGTGCCTAATGGCACAGCACGTTAAACTGCTGAGCTGCTAAACTTGCTGACCAAAAGGTCAACAATTCAAATCTGGGGAGCAGGGTGCCAAACTAGCAGTCTGAAAACATGCAAATGTGAAAACATGCAAATAGGTACTAGCAGTCTGAAAACTAGCATGCAAATAGGTACTAGCAGTCTGAAAACATGCAAATAGGTACTGATCTGGCGGGAAGGTACCGGTGTTCCATGCAGTCATGCCAGTCACATGACCTTGGAGGTGTCTATGGACAACACCGGCTCTTCGGCATAAAAATGGAGCTGAGAACCACCACCCCGCCCAGAGTCAGACACAACAAGACTTAATGTCAAGGGGAAACCTTTACTTTTATTTATGGCATGTTGCAAAGAGCAATTGCTTGAAGACTCAGCTAAAAAACATTTGACAGATTTGTGTACATCTGTGTACAGTCCCCAATCATGTGTCCAATGGGAAGAAGGAGGTTCACAAGTGAGGCATATAGCCAACTGTGGAATTGCTCTCCTTTCAGCTTAACGAAAAATACCTAGGAATCACTCGGGACCATGCTCTGACTTATAAGAAGCACTGAATATCAAGCAAAAAGTGGATACTAGAATATCTTGAATATCAAGCAAAAAGTGGGTGCTAGAAATAATATCATACGAAAGCTGACTGACACAACCTGGGGGTCACAACCAGATAAAGTGAAGACATTTGCCCTTGTGCTTTGCTACTCTGCTGCTGAATACTCATGCCCAGTGTGGAATACATCACACCACGTTAAAACAGTGGATGTGGCTCTTAATGAGACATGCCACATTATCACAGGATGTCTATGCCCCACACTGCTGGAGAAATTGCACTGCTTCGCTGGTATCACACCACCTGACATCCGTCTGGAAGTAGCAGCTAGTAATGAAAGGACCAAGGCAATTGACATCTTCGGCCTATCCTCTGTTCGGGTATCAGTCAGAATGCCAATGCCTTAAATCAAGAAACTGTGCCTGAAATCTACGGAGATACTGGCAAGAACACCTCAGCCAGGAAGAGTCCAAAAGTGGCAGGCTAAAACCCAGCATCTCAATCAGTCACCGAGACCAAATGAGAAACTCCCTCCTGGGCACACAGAAGAGTGGACAACCGGAAAGGTGCTGAACAGGCTGCGCTCTGGCACCACAAGGTGCTGAGCTAACCTTAAGAAATGGGGCTACAGGTGGAGTCCACAACATGCAAGTGTGGAGCAGAGCAAGCCACAGACCGCCTACTACAATGCAGCCTGAGCTCTGCCACATGCACAATGGATGACCTTCTTACAGACACTCGAAGTGGCCAGCTTCTGGTCAAAGGAAATTTAGCATAATGCCAAGTTCTCATTTTAAACACTTTGTTTGTGTTTTTAAATGCATTTTAACTGTACTCTCAACTCGCTTCTGACATGATAAATAAATAAGCTTAACTAACTGCAGCTTTGTTGCCCACAGCCATGTAGAACTACCTCAAGGGGTCCTTTCACACATCACAAATATAGCACCATGATTCCACTTCAATTGTCACGGCTATGTTCAATGTAACCTTGGGATTTTTAGTTTGAGGATGCACTAGAGTTCTCTGACTTAAGTTTCCCTAAATAGCAAATCCTAGGAGCTCATGGCTGCTAATAATAATAATAATAATAATAATAATAATAATAATAATAATAATCTTTATTTATACCCCGCCACCATCTCCCTGATGGGGACTCGGGCAGCTTACATGAGGCCAAGCCCAGCAACAAAATACAGTAAATGAAATCAAAACACAAACAATTACATAATAAATTACATAAAGCACAAAAATACAGCAAACAATATAAAATTAAAATAAAATTATTCATAACACAGCACGTACAGAATAAAATACTAAAACACGGGGTGAGATAGGGATGGAGCAGATTTATTTGTGAGGGAGAAACTCTTCAGGAGTGGGGTCAAGAAGGGACTTCGTACAGGAGAGGAGGGGGTGTACTCTAAGGACAAAGGAGGAGTAACAACAATATTAGGTTGTATGGTTAATCACCAAAAGCGTAACAGAAGAGCCAGGTTTTGAGATAGTGCTACAACTGTGTCATGTTAAAGGGCCTTCAGCACTGAAGACCAAATTGGGGGGAGGGGGGGGGGAGCCAGAAAGGCAGACTATGAAAAGGTAACTTGAGGAACAATGCGACTTCCTTCACCTTCTTTGCTCACAGAATCAGACCCACTCACCCCATGCTCATTATGGGCGAGATTACCAATATTGTAACTCAGAGATCCTACTGAGTTTTTAGCAACAGACTGGGATGCTTTGTACAAAATCAATCTATACCTTGTGTACCTGAAAGGCATGAGTGGAATTAGTAATTTATATCGAGCCCTGCCCTGTTTTACTTTGGCCCCAACTTGCACCTTCGGCTCCACCCAGGACTGCAATGTAACCCTGTATTCTCACCTGTTGCTGAAAACTAAAAATGTATAAGCCAAAGCCATATTTTTACATTTTATATCCAGTTTCCCAACTATAAATTGTCTGTTTATGATCACTCTAGCTGGGGATGATGGGAATAGCAGCCAAACATATTCATAAAGTGCCAGGTTTGGGGAGGGCTGTTTCATTTGTCCAGGTTATAGGAAACTTTGCCATTCTGAGATACAGGACATTTCTTAATCAGGAATTTCTATATTTTAGTGAGAAATCCGCATGACAGAATGGCACCAAAGATTACACAGCTGAACACCAATTCTTGGTGTCTCAGGCCTGTTCCTGAGGTTGTTTGAGCTCTGATTCAGAAAATTGCATTGGATAGACTGCATGACCTCTAGTTTGATATGGTTATCAGGCTTTTCTATGGGTCAGAAAACGAGGACTGGTTGATAGCACCTGTATCTCAAAAACTAGAGCTGATAGGAGAAAATTGGTGCCATTTTTGCAATCAGCAGATCAAATATACTCAAATTTCAGGATAAATTATCTTATCTGGCACATCTGCGTTCGGAAGATTGCCAGTATTTGCCTCTAATCTTTAAACGTCTATTTAGTGAGAATAAAAGTTCCTCTTGAATGACTCTGAAGAATCGACGCCTACTCCAATCCAAATAACGTCCAAGTCAAGATCCTGGCCTTAATCCATAATGACATCTTGAACTTCGTCCAAAACAGTGAAAAGGGTGTCTGGGGACGATGCCTATTTACTCAGTCACGAAAAAGAGACACACAGAGCAGGAAAAGAAAACTGGCATGTTGTCACTTGCTCTGAAACTAATCTCAGAATAAAGAACTGCACACATACACAATTATAACCAACACTGCACATGTGAACAGCAAGAAGCACAGGAAACAAAGTGAAAAAAGCAGAATTCAATTGAACAAATCTATCATTCCAATTGAGTCTCATACTTACTTTGCTAAAATGCCAAGGCTTAGGAATAGCTTGATAACTTCTGCTATACACACAGCTGTCGTTGAAAAGTACAACACTGTTTCTGTCGTTCTTGTGTACCGCAAAGCCACTGTGTATGTTGCCGCCACCAAGGTCATCACCGTGAGGCAGTACAACTTAAAAAGCAAACTGACATTTTCTGAAAAAAACCACAAAAGTATTGCTCTGTAAGATAAGAGAGGCACTTGACAGCAACCCTTGGCCATATGGAACTTGAAAAACAGTCTAAAATTAAAATAGTAGGGTTTGGGCTTGCAAATGGCACTGCAGGGCGGCTGCAAATCCAGCTGCCCGTACCTTGAGAAGCCAGACTTGGCCACGGTTGTCCACACCCTTGTTACATCCCGAATAGACTACTGCAACACACTCTACATGGGGCTTCCTTTGAAGACTGTTCAGAAGCTTTAAATAGTCCAATAAGCAGCAGCCAGACTGGTCCCCAGAGCAGCATATAGGGAACATACAACTCCCCTGCTGCATCAGCTCCACTGGCTGCCGATTTGCTACCGAACACAATCCAAAGTGCTGGCTTTACCCTATAAAGCCCTAAATGGTTCTGGCCCAACTTACCTGTCCAAACGCATTTCCCCCTATGAACCATCCCGGGCACTAAGATTTTCTGGGGGACCCCTGCTCTCGGTCCACTTTCTTCACAGGTGCGGCTGACGGGGTGAAGGACAGGGCCTTCTCAGAGGTGGCCCCTCAGCTGTGGAACTCCCTTCCCAGTGAAATTAGATCAGTCCCTCCCTCCCAGACTTTAAAAAACAAGTTAAAACCTGGCTATAGAATAATAACTTTATTCTTATATCCTACCGCCATCTCCCCAAAAGGACTGAGGGCAGCTTTCAAATGGCACGAAGTGCCTAAAAACAAACATTAAAATGAAGCACAATATAAAATACAATAAAATAAAACACATACTCATATAAAACATCAACTCAGACTCAATAAAACTGGAAACAAATGTTTGGAGAGTTTCACAGGTATATATATAGCTACAAAGTGATTGGAGCAGCTTCTGGATTATGATTTTTAGTCTATGTGTACTCTTTTAACACCCTGTTTATTTATATGTTAGTGTTTTATGATTTTCATGATTTAACACACAATGTGTATATTATTTTGTTTGCCTTATGTTAACGTGGCATGGAGTTATTGCCAATTTGGAAACTGCTCTGAGTCCTCTACGGGGTTGAGCTAGAACAGGGTAAAAATACAGTAAACAAATAAATCTTCAATGATCCTTGTTAAAACTTGAATAGCCACAATATGGGCAACTGGAATAGGGCTAAGCAGCTCCACCATCTTTGCTTAGTAGCCTTCAACTTCCCTCAAAGTCTCTTGGCTTTTTGGGACATTTAATCCATCTGCTTAGGTTGGGTTCCACTGATACCCAAATCCATGTCCCATTATATACAGTGGCTTAGAAAAATGGCAATATTTTAGAATATTTTAAAGCTGTGGATGTTTGAATCTGTGGATACAGAATCCATGGATACGGAGGGCTGAATGTACACCATAAAAGCTCTATGACAGTGGTTCTCAACCTGTGGTTCCCGAAGATGTTTTGGCCTTCAACTTCCAAATACCCCAACATAGATGCCCTTCCCAAAACTGGTATCCGCAGGGTCCCATAAGATGGAGCAGTAGCACTTGAAGTGAACCCATAGTGCAGTGGTGTTTTGGCCTACTAGTTTACCAGCTGTTGGGATATTTGGAAGTTGAAGGCCAAAAACATCTGGGGAACCACAGGTTGAGAACCACTGCACTATGGGTTCACTTCAAGTGCCACTGCTCCATCTTATGGGACCCAACGGATACCAGTTTTGGGAAGGGCATCTATGTTCTCCAAGAATGAACTCTAGTTGTTCATCCCAAACTACAAATCCCAGGATGTCAGTGAAAAGTGAAATCCAGTTGTTATCACTGTGCAGTATGACAACCCCAAGTCAATAAGCTTCTCCGACTATCCTTAGGATACCATCCAAGACTATATGATTTCCCCTATCATTTCAAAAGATCATTAAGGAGTTTTGTCCCTCACTGGTTTTTCTCTCCAGGTTTTAATAAAAACAGGAACCAGGAAATAATAATGAAGAAATCTCTAGCCATCATGGTGTACATAAATTATGTTTGCCTAGGGCCTGCCAAGGCCTATTACTCATATCTTGGAGGGAGGTAATATCTTGGGCTGTGTAAACATTCCTTCAAGGTACAGTTTATACACTGCGCTGTATAAATCATACAAACGGAGGCCCCTCTTTTCAAGATAAAATCTAATTCATGTCAACATGATGGGACTAAATGACGGCAACAGATAGATCTGGAAATGACACCTAGGTCCTTGGATGTTCCCAAATAGTTTTGATATGTCACCTTTATATACCTTCCCTCTTTTTCTTCCTTCCTCTTCCCTTCTTTTTTTCTTCCTTTCCTTTCTTTGCCTTTCCCTCCTTTTTCTTCCCCTCTATCCCTTCCTTTTCTCTTCCCTTCTTTATCTTCTTTCTTTCCTTCCCCACATACCTTTTCCCTTTTCTCTTTCTTCCTTCATCTTTTTTCCTTCTCCCCTTCTCTCCCTCCCTCTCCTTCTTCTCCCTTCCTTTCTTTCTTCTTTCCATTTTCTTTGCTCCATTCTTTCCTTCTCTCTTCCTTCTTTTTCTTGTTTTTTCTTGCTTTCCTTCTTTCATCCGTTCCATCATACACCGCCCAATCTGCTTCGCTTCCTTTATTTACCACTTCACCTAGCCACAGCCAATCCACTTTGTTCCGTTCCTTTCCCTCGGCCTTGGGTAGGTTTTTTATAGTTCAAGCCTCACAATTATTTTAGGTTGGACAATGAAGATTATACGTACCATGTTTGGCCCAGATCCATCAAGCTGTGTAGGGGCTTAATAGTACAAACCAACCAACAGACATGCATACATGCATACTGTGACTTTTTTTATATACAGGTCGTCCCCAAGCTATGAACAAGACAGGTTCTGTAGGTTTGTTCTTAAGCTGAATTTGTATGTAAGTCGGAACAGATGCATTTTTAAAATGTATTCTCAGTCAAATACTGCCTGTATATCAGGCATGGGCAAACTTTCTAACTTGAGGGCTGCATGCTGGCACTCTCTGTTAAGAGAACTGGCTGCCCGCTGATGGATGAAAGGAAGGAAGGAAGGAGGAAAGGGAAGGATGGAAGGAAGGAAGAGAAGGAGGAAGGAAAAAGAGAAGCAAAGAAGGGAGAAAGAGAAGGATGGAAGGAAGGAAAAGGAGAAAGGAAAGAGAAAAGGAAGGAAGGACAAAAGGGTGGAAGGGAATGGAGGGAGAAAGAGCAAGGGAGGGAAGGCGGGAGGGGGAGAGAGGAAAGGAAAGAACGACAAAAGGGAAGGAAGGAAGGGAGAAAGGAAGAGGAAAGGAAGAGAGGGAGGGAGGAATGAGGGAAGTAAGGATGAAAAGGAGGAAGGGAAAGATGGAAGGAAGGAAAGGAAGGAAAGAGAGAAGGAAGGATGAAAGGGTGGAAGGGAATGGAGGTAGGGAGAAAGAGGGAGGGAAAGAGGATGAAAGGGAAGGGAAGGACAGAAGGAAGGGAAGAAGGGAAGAAGGAAGGAAAAAGAAGGTAGGAAGAAAGAGATGGATGGAAGGAAGGGAAGGAAGGAAGGAAGGAAGGAAGAAAGGAAGGAAAAAGAGAAGGGAGAAAGTGAAGGATGGAAGGAAGCAAAGGAAGGAGGAAGGAAAGAGAGAAGGAAGGAAGGACAAAAGGGTGGAAGGGAATCGAGGGAGGGAGAAAGAGGGAGGGAAGGAGGGAGGAAACAAGGAAGGAAGGAAGGATGAAAGGGTTGAAGGGAAGGATGGAAGGAAGGAAGGGAAGAAGGAAGGAAAAAGAAAGCAGGAAGGGAGAAAGCGAAGGATGGAAGAAAGCAAAGGAAGGAGGAAGGAAAGAGGGGAGGAAGGATGAAAGGGTGTAAGGGAATGGAGGGAAGGATGGAAGGACGAAAGAGAAGAAAGAGGGAAGGATGGAAGGACGAAGAGGTGGAAGGAAATGGAGGAAGGGAGAAAGAGGGAGGGAAGGAGGGAGGAAAMGGGGAATGAAGGACAAGGAAGGAAGGAAGGAAGGAAGGAAGGAAGGAAGGAAGGAAGGAAGAAGAGAAAGATGGAAGGAAAAGAAGGAGGAAGGAAAGAGAGAAGGAAGGGAGGACTAAAGGGTGGAAGAGAATGGAGGGAGGGAGAAATAGGGAGGAAGGAAGGAGGGAGGAAAGAGGGAAGGAAGAAAAGTCAAAAGGGAAGGAAGGAGAAAGGGAGAGAGGGAAAGAGGGAGGGATGGAAGGAAGGATGAAAGCGTAGAGGGGAAGGAAGGAGAGGGAAAAAAGAGAGGGATGGAGGGAAGGGAGGGAAATAGTAAGGAAAGAGAGAAGGAAGGAAGGATAAGATGGTGAAAGAGAGGAGGGCCTGAGAAAAGAGTCCAAGGCGCCCCATCCAGTCCCCGAGCCTGGATTTGCCCATACCTGCAGTATATAGATAATTGGCACCTAAACATCATTTGACCTACAAACAATTACAAATGATCCCTGCTCAGCCACTGAAATCCACTGGATCACTGTGGGCAGATCACACTCTCAGTCTCAAAGGGAAGCCCTTTGTGAAAATATCGTACGACGAAGCCAGAGGATAATTCATATTATGTTGCTGTAAGTTGGAAAATGATGTGAAGGCACACAACACCAACAAAAAGGGCAAAACACCAGTAAAACGACATATACTTATCAGGCTAAAAGTTATGCAATTCCCCCCTAGCACCACCACCCCTTCCCATTTTACTGTAATTTAGCACGGTAGTAAAGGAATGGCAGGAAACGCTGCATTCTTTCTCAAATTATCTTAAGCTGTGTTATAGATAGCACTATAATCATTGAAAGCTATATTTGAGAAAACTAATATTAGTATACTGAATGTGAAATAAGATGCTGTTCTCAGGGTCCATCTACACCAGGGCTGGGCAATCTTGGGCCTTTTGGGTGTTTTGGACTCCAACTCCCACCATTCCTAACAACCTCAGGCCCTTTCCTTTTCCCACTCAGCCGCTTAAGCTGAGTTTGCCTCCCCAAACTGCACTTCCCAAGATCTCATAGAATTGTGCCACTGCAGTTGAAGTGGTGTCAAACTGCATTAATCCTGCAGTGTAGATGCACCCTGAGGCTTCTGGGAATTGAAGTCTCAAACACTTGGAAGACCCAAGGTTGGGAACCACTGCATCAGACTACAATCCTCCTCCTCCACCACCATCTGATGGGAGTTGCAATCAGCAGCACTTGAACTTATCGCATCACAGAGATCTCCTTTTAACAACTCCCCCCCCCTACTCAGAGCAACATGGTTGCGTCCAGTATTGCCCTCAATGAGATGGAACGTTCCATACTCGTAAGAGGGGGGGCTCAAGATCTCCTTTTGTCAACTACCACCCCTTGCACCGAGAAATATGGTTGCGTCCAGCATTGCCCTCAATGAGCTGGAACGTTCCATTCTCGCAAGGGAGGGGGGCTAAGAAGGTTGAGCCCTCAATGGCTACAGGGTGTCTCGCGCTTACCTTTCGGAGGCGCCATGGTCGCCAGGAGAAGGGACCAGCCGGCGAGCGCAGAAGCCCGCCCCGGCAGTCCTCCCAGCGCCCCATGGAGAGCGACGGGGCGCGGCTAGAGCGGGCTCCGCGCGCGGAGTTGAACCATAGAGTCCGGCACGCCTCCATTGTTTCCGCCGGAAGTAGCCCTATGTATGCGGAAGAAGCATATAGAGACCTCATTGTGAAGTGGGACTCTGGGGCCCTTAACGCTCAGTAAAATCAAGACTTATGTTCAACACATAATAAGACATGAAGTAGCCTTTATACAATTCTCAATGTCTGTTACTATTGTTTACTTTTTTCTGCCTTGTAAAGCATTTGAGTATCAGTTCAGTTTTGTGTCTGGGAAAATCAAGAGGAAATGTAGTTTTTTCAACATTCTCAATAACAAAACACCACTTTAAGCATGCTAAAGGAAAAGGTCTTGTGTGGAATCATCTAGACCAGCCATGGGCAAACTTTGGCCCTCCGGTAGGTTGTTGGGAATGGTGGGAGTTGAAGTCCAAAACACCTGGTGGGCCAAAGTTTGCCCATGCACGATCTAGACACTGAAATGTATTTTCATATAGAAATTTCCCTTCTACATTTTACTGGCAGTTTTTTCCATGTCAGATGCAAGAATTGGCCATCTGCAAGGAAGTTACCCAGGGTATGCTTGGATGTTTTACCACCCTTGTGGGAGGCTTCTCATGTCCCCGCATGGGGAGCTGGAGCTGACAGAGGGAGCTCATCCGTGCTCTCCCTGGATTCGAACCTCCAACCTTTCGATCTTCAGTCCTGCTGGCACAAGGGTTTAACCCATTGAGCCACCAGGGGCTCCTTTACTGGCAGTAAATTTGCATCATTTATTATTTACTTCTCCCTCAAGGCAGCTAACAAACACACACACTGATCATTTAAAAATAAAGTGAATACACGTAAAAACCCCAAATAAATTGCACTGTGTGCGTGAGGTCAAAATACCGCTAAAATACAATAAAATACATTTTAAAATGCACCCCCCCCCCCAGCCTCGTGTTATTTCTATTTTGTTTCAGTAAGTCTTCAAATCAGTCCACTTAATTTGTCTTTCAAAGCCATCAGAGGCTTTGAAAGCCTTATCTTGGATAGATAATTAAGGCATGCTGAAGCCCTATATCAGGTTTAAGAATTGGCTGTCAATTCAGATGTGGACCCAAATGCTGTCAGGGATTTACATATTTGTGAAGAACATAGTTACACTGTTATGAAATTGATCCCATCCTGATTCCCCCTAAATTTGATGTACTGGGTAGCAGCCACTGTCATTTGGTCCCTTGTTGACCGCCAGTCCCACTTCACCCCAAAAGCAATCTCTGGTACAACTGGCAGAAGCAGAAGAATGTTGCAATTTCCCTTAATGCCAGATTCCTCATATGAAGTTGGGTGGGATTGCCAGTCAGCTTCTTCCTGATTTGACAGGAAACAGACCCATCAATTTCAGAAGCTGCTTTCCAGTAAATGAAGAGTGAGATTTTTCTGTCTGTAGAATTTTTTTTTGTATTGATGAATTTTTTTGTATTGATGAAAAAAAAAATCATTAATACAAAACAGTTTTGAGTGCCTGACTCTTGGTTATACTTTTGTAACCACCCCCCCCCCCCCCCAAAAAAAAGATGCCACCCCATAACTTCCAGAAGCCCCAGCTAGCAAACTCAGGAGTGAAGGGTGGAGGGAACTGCAATTCAACCTCTGCCGAGCTGCAGGAAAAAAGATTCCACCTAAATGTCAGGAAGAACTTCCCGATGGTAAGAGCTGTTTGGCAGTGGAATATGCTGCCTTAGAGTGTGGTAGATTCTCTTTTCTGGAGGTTTTTAAGCAGAGGCTGGACCTCACAACCTCTGAGGATGCTTGCCATAGATGCAGGCGAAACGTCAGAAGAGAATGCTTCTAGAACATGCCCATATAGCCCAAAAAACCTACAACAACCCAGAGGCTGGACAGCCATCTGTCAGGAGTGCTAAATCAGATGAAACAACCATATTCTAGAGCAGGCATGGGCAAATTTCCAGCCGTTAGGAATTGTGAGAGTTGAAGTCCAAAATACTTGGAGGGCCAAAGTTTGCCCATGCTTATGCAAGAGCCTATAGTTTTGAGCCTAATTTCTTGGGTTTGTTACCTAGGTCAGTCAACCCTGATAAATTCGCCCCTTGTATAATGCCAAACTAAAAAAAAACTACCAGTGTAATGAGCAAACACTATGGAAAGGGTAATATAAATAGGTATTGGAATGAATGCAGGACGAGAGAGAAATAAATAGTGGTTTTATTAAAGGAAAATCAGATCAATATGTCATGTTGAGATGGCCTGGAAGAATGGGAAACCTCACTTGTTAAACAAAGCAAGTGTGGTTGACTAAAGGAGAGCAGCATTAACTGTGGGAAGTCAGCTTGTGCTGTTTATTCCATACAAACTCCAGTAAAAATGCTGTAAGAGGACATATGTGAATCATGACCTAACCTGTAGCAGCTTATCAATCAATTACATCTTTAAAGCTTTTCCTCAGACTTTGCTAATTAAATGCTAACTTTAAATCAGCAGCTAAAGAATAGCACACAGTTCATTTCCTTTCCTTAAGTGATTATTGAAAGAATGACAACTCTTAGGTTTCATCCACGGCTCTTGTTAAGTTCACTTTGACCATACGAGTAGTTGGGGGTGTTCTTCCTCGAAGACCAGCCAGGAAAATTTGTGGTCTGGGTACATTACTAGAGTTTTCTCGTTTGGTTTGTGTGCCTGAATCCTTCAAAGGATAGACCTGGCTGCTGTTATCTCTTCTCATGTGACTGAGGTTGGTCTGCATGGAATGAGTTAGCTTTCGACGGAGGTTAGCCTGAAAGTAGATGTAAGAGCAATTACAGCTGCAGTCAAAAATATTCAATTAAAAATTGTACAAGCTCTTTACACAAGAAGTACACAAAACCATTTCATTCTGGTGAAATGCAACAACAGTTCTACGTCAGAAGTGCATTAATGGGGTTGCAATGGCTCTTTAAAGTGTTATATCTTCCTCTTCCTGTTGTGAAGAGCTAGGAAGATCCTTCGATACTGGATACCTGTGTTCTATATAGTTGACACAAGTTAGGCTTATTATTGTCAACTGATAAAACTTCATAAATCATTCAGAGCAGTGATTTTATAACACTGATTAAGGTTTCCTAGTCAAGTTCTATGTTTTTTCCAGTGAAAGCAAAATGGAAAGGTAGAGAAGACTCAATACTGTCAGAGTAATTGAATGCAATTAAGAAGAAGTCCAAAGATAATGACTAGAAATTATTAGTATGAAGCTCTCAGTTACTAATGACACAAACCAGTTTGATGGCTTTTCTCCTCAGTTCCCATTCATTCCACTCATAGTCCTTCACAATATTTGGTGGCAAAATATGGGTATCAGTCTGAGTACTGACGTCAGATTTTGTGATTGGCAGCAAGCTTTTCTCTTTAGCTCTGATCTGGAGCAATGGCAAAAGAAAACAGTCTTTCTTTTAGATTTCTATTATAACCATTTTGGAAAAATAGATAAAAATTCTGCTTTGATTTGAAAGAATATTTTTTGGTGTACATTTGCTTAGTTCAGGTCCTGGCTATTTGTCTAACCGCACCTCCCTATATAGGTCATCTCATGCACTGTGGTCAGCGGAGGAGGCCCTGCTCTCAGTCCCACCCCATTACAAGCGTGGGAACGAGAGAGGGGGCCTTCTCCATGATTGTGCCCTGTCTCTGGAAGTCCTTTCCTAAAGAAATAAAAATGACTCCCATCCTGTTCTTTAAAAACTTTTGAAAACATACTTATGTACTTCAGCATACGGAGAGGAGGATGACTAGCACAATTTAATCAGCACTTTAAGGCTGCTACGGTCGATTTTAAATCACAACTGGGTTAGGCACTTTAAACATTTTAGTCATTTAATTGTCCAGGGTTCATGTTTTTGTGCAATTATGTTTTTTAGTGTAATTATGTTTTATTTAAGTATTTGTATTGCTTATTATTTTAACATTAATTCTTTCTTGGTAATAAGTTTATTAATGTTTATTCATGTTTTGATGATGTGTGATTTTAATTATGGCATTAAATGTTTGGGGTTTTTTTATGTATATAAACTGCCCTGAAACTCAAGGAGACAGGGCGGTCTAGTAATAAAGTATTATTATTATTATTATTATTATTATTATTATTATTATTATTATTTGTTCTCATTAAGCATTAAATAAAAACTGAAGGAAAGTTTGCTGGCGAAAGAGTACATAACAACATATTTTCAGAAGGGCTTCTTCAGTGCTTAGTACACTGCTGTAAAAATTGGATTTCTTGGAGGGCCCTGAATCAATGCAGGATAAATATGGCAAATACCTGAGAATATGGAGCAAGGGACTCAAACTGCTGATGAAGCTCAAGTAGCTGAATCAGCTCTGCAGAATCCTTTGCTTTTTCTGCAGTCATCTTAATATATTTCTCAGGATTCTCGGCAAATTTATATGCAGCTTCCTTGGAACTAAAAGCATACAATTTCTCCTTGTATTTCAGGACTCCAATAGATGGATTTCCTAACAAAGAGAAGGTAAACATAATATTCTTTTTAGGCATGAAGTGTTTCCTCATGGCATTCGTGATGAATATTATAGTTCCTCCACTGAAATTAAGAATATGCAAGGCAGTCAACTCTCTTAGAAAGGCTACTTTCAATTATTTCCCAGCCATCCCATGTTGATTTTGATAAAATAATCAAGTAAAACAGGTACTCCATACGCAAGTCTCCATAATGTTTAATGCTGAAAAATTATTTTAAAACAAATACATTTTCAAATTCTATTCCCTTTGTTGAGATCTCAGAGGCAAAGGTATATTCATATTTTACAATCCCAAGCCACCCCCAGAAAAACAATTTAAATCAATACGAATCAATTCTATATAATAGCTGCATGGGGCATTCTTCATGTTCAGTGGAGGTTCTGCAACACTTTTCTCTCCCCACAGAAATGGAAACTGGACATCAGAGGAAACTATATGCCAATGGCATGATTCTGCAGTTTTTCCAGTGACACCCCACTCCTCAAAAATGATTATGAACTAAAGTATGGAAAAGTTCTGGTAATTTATTTTCTTCTCTGATATACCACTTTTCACACCCCGGGGAGGGACTTAAAGCAGTATGCAACACATTCATGCCAAAATTGTTTTTACTAAATTAGCAGTAAATCATAGCTGCAGATTTGCAATGGTGGCTCACTGTCAAATCTATTAATATCAGAAAAAATAAAGAACCAAGGAGGATGTCAGATCTGACAGGGAAGTAATAGCTGTGAGATGTGAACATTTCATCAGCTATTCCTGTTCTTGGTTTTCCTCACCAGCCCTGTACCAAAACACTGTTATTGTGTCTTTTGCTCTGCCTCCAAACCCTTCTTCTCTATTCAAAGGGAAACACCACTCAATGGAGCAAATCGATTTACTGAAGAACAAAACTATACATCAAAATCACTTTTTTTCTAATGGCTGAGGTATAATTTCCCCAATGATGAAGCAAGCACATCTTCAAAATGCATTGAGAAAATCTTTCCTATTTTTCTTGTCTTTTCTTCTTGGAGTTGATTGTTCTGAAATCATCATTCACTCAATGTCTTCCTTCCTAAAATGTTTGCTCTGGTTCTACTTTCTAACAAAGATATTGCACTTTTCCTAATCTCTCTCTTTTGTCTCTTATCACTGTTTCAAATCCCTCTTATTCCCCACAAAAAAATTGCATAAATTTGTCATAAGACAGATGAAAACGGGAAGAACAGTGCAATGGAAGATGAATAATATTCTTAAAGCAAGAATCTTTTCAATCTATCCTTTGAGATACCTGGGAGGAGGAGACCATCTTTCACAGCAAAAGTGTAAGCACAAAAGCCATGAAACTGAATCACCAGCTGGTTAAAGTTAACTGTCGTTTCTGGAAAGATCCATTCTTCTTTAGTAAAGTCAGCAGGATTTACTTTGGCTTCTGGAATATAATAGCCAAAGGGAAAGTGACTTACTACTATTTCTTGTAAAAATACAGATTTGCTAGAAGGTATTATTCACAGTGACACTGAGGTAATCAAAACATACTCCTATATATATAATTTCTAGAGCAAGTTTAATATGTTAAGGAAGTCATGGCACACATTCTCTTAAAGACTTGGAAACTGAAAGAATTTGACAGCAAATTTCCTCCACAAGGGACAGGAAGTGCAGATAAACTTTTGCTTTCTGAAGTAGCTTCCACTAAGTTCACTGCCTTCTCTAATGATCTGCTGATAATTAAGAATTATCTACAGGAAAGTACGGGGCTCCTGA